TTTTATATATTATTATACATTGAATAAAATAATTATCCAAGAACAAATTTTGAAGGCATAAGAGGTAATTGAAATAAATATATAAAGAACAGTTAAAAATAATTTTTGTAGGTATACTTGAATTGTAAAACAAATATAATTTGTACTTAATTTAAATGGTTTAACAATATTTTGGTTTCAAAGTCCATATACCAGTTTTATCAACGCACCGGCTGAATGTGCAAACTTCACTTAACAATGACTTAAAGAGTGGGGTATCTTCAGGTGAGTATTTATTCCTAAATTGGTCTACTATTTGATCAGTTTTTACACTTTGATTGTTCTCTAACAAATATTCTCTAATACTGTTTAACATCTGCATTTCACGTTGAGTGGCCTCCACAAATCCATTACGCTTTTTCATTAAAGAAAGTATTGATGGACTACTTGATTCTTTACTAAAATTAAGCAAACGAAAAACAATAATTATTAATAACTACGTAGGTAAATAATAATAGGTAATGCAAAATGATCTATGGATCAATGGAAATATTTTGAAAAAATAAACACCATAGTCSGCTTACTTAGTTTCCATATTGTTAAATAACTTAGGTCTAACTGTTCCTTGATTACCAGTCCAGTTTAATCTACCAGATCCTGACTCCCAGCACTGAGCACGGGATGCTTCTAGATCTTCGATTGCCTTTTTAGCTAATTTTTGAGCTTCATTTTCAATTATAACATAATCAGATTTTGATGATTCCATAATTTTATCATGTCTCATCACTGCTTTCACACCTTTATTAAAGAAATATTATATTATATTACTTATTTTCTAGAAACAGTAGAACCTTGATTATYCAAACAAATTGGAACCAMATCTAGTTCGGATATTGGAAATATAAAATTAAAAAAATTTATTATTATGTATTAATTAATTATTATTTTTATGATTAAATATTAATTATTATTATTAATATTTTATTAGAATTACATACATTAGATTTTTAGAAATATATTACATTATTAGGAATCATCAAACAACATTTCCATTGCTTTGTGTATTTAATTAAAATTATTAAAAGTTGCATAAAATGTTATAAATTGAAATAGAGAAAATTATTTGAAAAATACCGGTAATGTAAAAATATCTATATATTAACATTGTTTTTATATTAATATTATACTTAATAATTATTGAYAAAAATTATATATTATTATATAATTATATAAATTTTTTTTTAGTTAAAAAAAAAGTTAGTAAAAAAAGGAATCAACCTATTTTAAATTTGGTCGAAAATTGAATCAGCCAAAAATGGAAGGGTAAAGTTTTGGTCAAAAACAGACTCTCTCCTAATAATAAGCCAAAAGTAAAAGTTATGATAAGTTCAATAAGCCGGTTGGCTAGCTGGCTGACCCGCTGGAAAGGAGTTTTCACATTCGGATAATAGAGGGTTCATATAATCRAGGTTCTACTGTAAGTGAATTTGTTATACATAATTATTTAACAAAATCTACCTGATTTGTTGAATAACTTTTCAAGAACGTAATCATCTTGTTTTTTGGATGTGAGATCGTCAACATATTCTTCTTGGTAAACATCACATTTTACTAAATGTGGTATTTTAGATTTTTTGTGTTWGGAATTTAAATATTTACATTTTGTTCTTTTAGAGGAAGGGTTTGGTGCTTCAATCATTTCAAATGATATATTTTTTATTGCACTTTTGCTGCAAGATGGAATATTTGAACTCTCATTATTTGCTAAAGTAAAATGTTTATCATTATTTTTAAAGGTTTGAGTATCATTTTGAGATGGGTTAATAATATCAGCTTCAGTACACTGTTCATTATTAGTACACATTTCTGRTGATGTTATTTGTTGATTTATAACTGGTTTTGAACTTTTACCAATCATTTTACTAAGTTCTCGAGCCTTTTGTTTCATAGCTTCAATTTTATCATCCGAAAATGAACAGGTTGAAGATGTTTTTTTAGATTTCTTTCTTTCATGCCGAGCTGAAATCATTTTTTTTAAATTGATCTAGAAAAAGAAAATTGTCTATAAAATATAGCCAAGAAATATTAACTAATTCATAATTTAATTACTTCCGAGCCAGTTCCGGCAAATAAATCTGTTGTTTCTACCATACCATTATCGTCTACATCTTGAAGAGTGAAAAGTTCATATAAATAATTTGATTTGAAAAAACGCCGTTGTTTAGGATCCACTAAAACTTTATTGCTTAAAAACTGTTTGAAAATCTGACGATGATAGATCTAAAATATAAAATAATATAGTAATCATTTTTAAAAATTTTTTAAATTTTTTTTTGTTAAAAAAATATATACCTTTTCTTCAATAGTTCCTGCAGTAAGTAATCTATATATAGTTACTGAATTTGTTTGTCCAATTCTCCATGCTCTTTCTCTAGCTTGTAAATCTGTGGCTGGATTCCAATCTGGATCAAATATAATCACGCGGTCAGCTCCAATAAGGTTAATGCCTAATCCTCCAACTTTTGTAGTCAAAATCATAATAAATATTGATGGGTCCTAAAAAAATAAAAATTTAATATATCATTTATTTTATAGACGAAAAAATATTTGAAAAAACTTTGTTACATTATTGAATTTGTTTATTATAGGTTGACGAGAACCAATGGAWGTTGCACCTTCTAGTTTCAAATATGAGTAATTTTTTTCAATAATAAATTTTTGAAAAATGTTAAGCATCTTAAAATAAACAAATATAATTAAATCAATGCAAATTTAAGTAATGCCTAATTTTGTTATGAACATATTGTCTATTACTTTTACACTTTGAGTAAAGAGCAGTACCCGATGGCTTTGTTTTTTCCACATTTTTAATAGAGCTTCAACTACAATCATTTTACCTGATTTTTTCCAATAGCCAAAAGCACCAGTTTCCTACAAATAATAAAAATTAATAAAAAAAAAAATCAATACTATGCATTATGATAAATGTATATATATTTACAAGATTTGTCTGGAAAAGATCAGGATGGTTGCAGATTGTCCTTAATCGAGATATACCAACAAAGACTTTACAACTTCCATTCATTATCTCTGATATTATATTTGAATGTTCAAGATATCCTCGGTACATTGTTTTCTGTTCTTCAGTCAAACGACAAAACAGTACTTGCTCATTTTTTTCTGGTAAAGATATGTGTGATTGAATATCGGCTTTCATGCGTCTTAAAAGATATGGAGTTATTGTGTCTTTAAGAATTGTAGCACATTTATAAGCTGTAGTTATCTAATTCATATGCAATGATTTAATTGATTAATCAAAAAATATATTAATAATGTATTTAATTCATTAAACATAAAAAATATACTTGTAGTTCAGTAGCATTTGCATAACCTCCGTGAGTAATTGGTACAGCAAAGCTTTTAATAAACGCAGGTAAAGTCCCTAGTTTGCTAGGGAAAATAAAATCAAACAGAGACCATAGTTCCTTCAAATGGTTTTGAATGGGTGAACCAGATATAATAATTCTATGACTAGATTTTAATTGTTTTGCGGCTACTGTTATCTATAAAATGTTATTTTATTTTAAGTATATTATACTTAGTATATTAAGTATATTAAACAGTGGGTATTTAATAAYAAGCAGATAACTACACTGTTTCTTTGCAGAAAATATTATATAAATATGATAGAAAGTTCAACAATTTAAATTAATAGAAATAAGTAAGAATAAATTTACTTACTTTAGAATCAGGATTTCTAATTTTATGTCCTTCGTCTAAAATAACATAGTGCCAATTATTTTTTAACAAATTATTGATATGTTGGAGCAAACCATTATATGTGGTTATTAAGACTCCTTTATTAGACCATACTCCTTTAATTAAGTCCC